AATTTTACACTAAATTAAAAAAAAATAGCAAAATAGTCTTTACACCAAGAAAGAATCGGAGGACATGATTACTATCACTCATGATAGTCTGTCATTTGTACAAGATGATGAAATTCCCTTTAGTTTTTGACAGAAAGCAGAAGAAATATGAACGTCATAAACAGCACTCCCATTCTCACTTCTTTATGGTTAGCTGTTTTTACAATAAATTCAATACAAAAAGTGGAAGGGAAAAGGCATGTGGGTTTTTTTACTCAAATAGCTTTTATTCACACTTAAATCTGAGTCTATTTGAATAATTTGACCAAAAAGCAATATAAAATGCCAATATAAAATGTAACTTAAAATGCCATTTCTAACATCTTCAACATGAAACCAAGTACACTGTTCACTATTTGAAAAAACACACTGAGAATGAACAAAAAATAAAATAAAGCCAAACTTCAGAATAATCTGATGAATAAATTGTTCCTCCTCTCAAAAGCTCCATGTAATGAACACTTCAAAAGTGCTTGATGTTTGTCAGCTTTAAAAGCATACCTTTGAACCAAAATCTCAACCAAGGAATGAACACCCAAATCTAAGAGCAAGGAACAAACTTTATAAAAAAAAAATTAAAAATTCATCCCTGTTCCAGATGATAACCACCTGTGGAATTGAGCAATCAATCAATTGCACCCACAGCATCCCTGAAGCCATGAGTTCTTTCACAGACTCCGTATCCATGCCAGTATTAAAGCAGTAAAGCATCAGTGCCTTCACTCAACCCCATTTTACATAGGAATTTCAGTGGCTGTTGAAAAGCATCCTCTGAACACCGGTGTGGGACTTTCACTCTGCTCCAAGTTTTATTCCACACTGGGAACATCCACTGCCACCCTCAGGGCATGACTGTTTCAGCTGTGCTCAGTTCCTGGCATGAGGGACCTCCTGCTTTTCACGGTGGAAGATACAGCACAGCCTTTCATAAACCATCCATTCCTTATCTCTGAAGTGCCTGAGTGGCACAGCAAACTGCATCCAGCAGTTTCATTTATCCATGTTCTGGTCTCATGTGCAAAACCTTAATCCCAGTTTACAGAACATTTATGTTAAATAAATAAATAAATATATTACATATCTTTATATGTGTCTGTCAAAACTAATGCTACTCTCATGTAAGTATCACAGTGAAGAACTTTTATGGTTCTGCCCAACATTACCCAAAATAAACCAGAGAACAAATCATAAAATTAATCTCATCCCAAACACTCTTCTTGATTAGTTTTTCTCTACTCATTACTTTAATAAATTGAGGAGAGCAAGTCCCCAGGAAACAACCCAGCCCTTGGCTGCTGCAGCACCAGCTTCATCACACATCAGAGTGTTCCACCTCTTTTGGCCAATTCGAGCTAATTACTGACGAGAAGGCTTAGAGTCCCAAACGACAGTGACAGCCACAACTCAAGTCTGCAGTGGAAAAAAACTTTGTTTCTGTACCACATAGCTCCTCTTCTTCATAAGGGGTAGGCACATCACCTACTAAATCAATCTCTTAAGACTAAATCAATATCTCAAGATGAATAATAATTTCCTCCTTGGATAATTAAATACATGTGTGAATTTCCCTGGATGTATCTCCACTGCATTCCCTGGTGTTAATTATAGCTATATCTTTGAGACATGACCTGTTTTAAGTTCTGGGTTTTTTGGTTTTTGGTTTTTTTAATGTATGCTTTCTCTCTTTTCTGTGATCTGCAACAGGAATGCAGAAAATCTAGGTTGGCCACAAAAACAGTAAGGTTTTCTGACTCTTCCAGTTATGGCAGACAAAATTGAGCAAATACAGAAGTTTGTCTGTGTAATCATGCTGAGCCAGGGTCACAGCATACTGCCAGAGGTATATGTTGATGTAGCAGACTCATGTTGGGATTCAACCCAAACCAAATTCAGGCCTCTCTCAGGAAACCTGAACTGAAAGCACAGCCATGTGAAGGGCTAAGGAACAAGACACATTAAATCCATTTGATGTTTCTTGTAATTCACAACAACACTTTAGCTTTTTAACAGTGAATGCAAGCAGACCTGGTGATGACTACCAGAAAGAAATAATGACAGCTCAGGCACAAGGACCAGTGCTATGTTACAAGAATGAAGAAATGGTACTTGAGCGCTTCAGAGGGAAGAACTGAGAGCAGACTACAGTTCTTGTTTGTTAGCCTTAATATTCAATCTAAGATGAATAAATAGAAATTACATATTCAACTGCGTTGGACTGACTAGAAAAATCACGTTTAATTGTTGGTGTTTTTAATTTTGCTTATAGGTCTTTCTGTCAGTTCACGAAAGCTATGCCCAAAAAGCACGACTGAGAAAACACAAAAAAAAATTAGGAAAGAAAAGTAACTTCTGAGCTTGCCCTGAAATTTCTGAATCAAGGTCAACAATCTTCTCTAGTAAAGAGATTTATCTACAATTAAAACAAAAATGCAGACTATAAAGTTGAATATAGTGTGCTTTGGAAATCTCCGATTCAAAAGATACAAGCCAAGTGGAATACAGAACATTAAACAGGATTCTAGAATAGCCTTACAATGAAGTGTGTGATGGCCACGCCGGAATTTTTAAAATTAAGAACTACACAAATTGTAGAATAAAGTATTAATATGCAAGAAGGCTTTCTGACAAGTACCAAGTAAAAGATAAAGAAATGTGTGAAGGTAAAGGAAGTTGATTAGTATCTTAAAAGTGGATGTTTTTAATTACGTCTTTAAAGACCTCAAGTGTTACCTTCCCCTTTCTTTCAAGTTTCTAACTGAAAAAGCAACATTTTTTTTTTCTCAGATCTTGTTAACACTCAGTTCTTTAGCCACGTAAAAGAGGGGAAATCTGACTGTAAGTGAAAGTCTAAAGCACCATGTCCTTTAATTCAGTGATGGGGTCCTTCATTAGATTATCTCATAGCTATGGGACAAGATATGGCAAAAGCCAAATGATAAATCATTACATTATGTTTTCTTCTTCTCCAGGCAAAGAATGAGTATAACATTAGATTATTTTGAAAGACTAAAAAGGAAGAAGACTCTGCAATATGCATCACAAGTGACAAAGCTAATACCATTTTTAAACCCCGTTTATTCATATAATCAGGCATAAGCACTTACTTATGCTAACTGTGGAAACCTCAAATGTAATATATAGCCCAAATGAATTCCATTAGAGCATGCTTCAGTGTTTCATGTTCTCCCTTGCACATGCCTAGTGAAAGCCTGCCACTCTGCAACAGAGGAAGGAATTACTACAACAGAACCATAGGCAGACTTTGCCAGAAACTATACTTTTTTTGATATGAAGCAGAATAAGCTGAGTGTTTTAAGTAATGGATAGGTTTGCATCCCACTGTCTAGCAGCAGTTATTCTAATTGTGTTTCACAGCTTAATCAGAGAGATGGAAATATGAACATTCTCCATAAACTGCACTGAAACAAATGACACTCCCTTCAGGCAGATCACCTTCCACCATTACAGGAAAGGATTAGTTTATCTTTCAGCTATAAACTTGAGTCAGCTACACATTCACCATATTGACATCCCAACACTTTTTAATCTTATCATGTCAATCTTGCATCTACGTAAAAATGTGTATTTCAGTGCGTAAAAAGATCTCTTTCTGCTGACAACTCAAAGTGCATTAACCTGGGAAGCCTTGAGATTTCCACACACACCCACACACTCCTTTCAGTACAGATCTCACTGATTAGAAAACGAAATATCCAAAACTCAACAGACATTTCACACACAGTGGCATTTCTGCAGAAACATACATTTCCAACACTTCAACTTTTACTTTCATCACTATTAGCAAGTTATTTTCCCAAGTTATTTCCTACACACATACCATGCCCAGTGCCCCTGCTGAAACTACCACATTCACTGAAACTGAATGAGCTCCTAGTGAAACATCAGAGCTTAGCTGTAAATATGTGTAAATACTTTTATTCTGTGCCGCTTTCATGTTAGAATACAACATGCAACAAGGTCACTGTAACAGATTGCAGTTTTCAGGCTCATAGAGAAGACACTGAGGAAATCAGTAAGAGCAAACTTAATTAAGCAGTGTCTAAAGTTCTGCCTTCTCCCAAACCTGCCCAGAATTCACATCTCTATTCCCTGCATTTCAGAGTCAGGTCTTTTCACAGGTACGGGAAGGCAGGCAGCTTAGCTTAAACGCTATCACTGCTGAAAGGTGAACAGAACTCGTTCTTTGCAGCGTGACCGGTCTGCTCTGAGCTCTCCGAGTTTTCAGCTACAGATTACAGCCTCATGGGCCTCTTCCTTTGGAGTTCCTCTGAGAGAAGAATTAGTCCCCTGCCTGCAACCTGTCCTCCATACACTGAAATAAATTACAGTCAACTTTTCCCTTCATTGCCATGTCAAGTGTGGCAATAAATATCCACAGGCTAAAAGCAAACAAACAAGGCTGGACAAACCATAACCTCACAGCAAGAGCATCTCAAGGAAGAACACCAGGCAGGGCATAAGAAAGTTAAGGGCATAAAAATCAAAACTCCGGGTTCACTATCTGAATCCGTAAGTGCGTATGAAAGGCTAACATGCTTCTTGCATTCTCCCACAAGAAGCATTGATGGAAAGCAATTAAGGGACTCCTGCAATTTAGTTACAGCTCAGCAAAGAGGAGAAGGCATTTTACATTATGAAATGTCTGAAAAAAAGGCATCATCTCTTACAGTTGCAGAAGTGGGAAGCATTGGGACACGGAGCTCCCTTGCCGGCTATGCACCGGAGCACCGCACCGGCGCTCCGCCCGCGGCGGACTCCGGCGGAGTTGGAGCGGGGCTCCCCTGCAACCCTGGCCACCAATCCCCCGCACCTCAAGCCCCGAGAACTGCTGCTGGCGCCGCCGACCATCCTGCCAACGAACTGGCAGCAAGCGACCAGCAGCTGCAAAAAAAAGTCACTCGAGACGAAGGAAACGCAGCGAAAAGGAAGCAAGAGCTTACTTGCCAATACAGCACCGCCGGACGACCTCCTCGCAGCTGTGAAACGCTGTGCCGCTCGTCCTCCTCCCACCGCTCCGTGCTAGTTCCAAAATAATTCCTCCGGGCGCCGGCACATCCCCGGGCTCAGCCGAGGAGCGCAGGGAGCCCGGCCGCCTCGCCCCCCCGCCCGGTGCCCATGGTGTCAGCCACAGCCCCGGCAACTCGCGCTCCTTTCCGCCGGCGCTACCTCGGGGCGGGCCGCCGGCTAACACGGCATCGCACCCCGGCCGCCGCCGCCGGCTCGAACTCCGCCGCCGCGCTGAGGGGGAGCGTGGGGCTCCCGGCGCCCTTCCCGGAGACGGAGCGGGGGTGCCGGGCGGGGGCGTGCGGGGAGCAGCGCCGCCCCTCCGCGGCGGCGAGCGGCCAGGCGAGGCGCGGCGAGGCGAGGGGAGGCGAGGCGG